GGACGTGGCGACGCAAAGGCAGCAGAGAGCGAGAGGAAGGAGAGTGGAGAGGCGGCGGGGAATGGGGCAGCCCACTTTCGATTGAAGGAGCAGAGCGCGCGACAGAGGAGGCACGCGGCGGCGTGGGAAGCCATGTTGCTGCGTGCATAACCGCCACGCCACAAAGCCACGCTGGCGCCCTTCGGGGGGCGTTTCCGCGAACACTTGGCGGGCGACGGAGTGGCCGGCGTGGAGCGCGGGTTGGGCCAGATCTGGGCCGATTTAGACCTCGGGCCCAAAACAAAGTTTGAAGCCCGCGAGCTGCTCTACATTTTTCATTTAGAGACCAAGGTCATTAGAGCTCTTCAACAGCGGGTAATTAGGCCACAAACTGTCAGTGTCAGCGCCTTGATAACGGTCACGGAAATTCACTTTCGGAAGTCAAAACTCGGTCAAACTCAGTGCAACTTTTTGCATGCTCTTCTCCATAATATAACCTTCAACTTTTATTTTTGGACCAACTCAAGTTGCTTAACAAATTTCGGAGAACGCGGAATGCCAACGTCGTTGCTTAGCGAAACTCCAGACTTAGAATATTTCTAAGTGCTGAAAACAACAGCAAATTCGATCTTGTGACCTTGATTTGACTTACTTCCAAGCTGATCTAGCTCTTAGTCCAAAAACAAAGTTTGTTCTACATGATATGGACTACAACTTTCATTTAAGGTCCAACCTCAAAACTGGTAGAGAACCTGCTGTTCTACTTTGACCAAAGTAGGATCGCGATGAAGCTTAAATTATCCTTTTTGATCCATTGGAGCATTTTCTTGGCATTTGCCCAACATGAACCTTTCATGACTTTTGTTGTAGAGTTCATCTAGAGTCATTTGGGCAAGGTTGCAAGGTTTGGTGAACAATCTAGAATTCCATTCACTTTATAAAACGATCCAAGCAAGGACATAACTTGTCATTTCATGTGACTTCTTGATTCCAATCTTCACGAAACTTTTCCATGGATCAATATAGATGGATATTGATGCGAGACACATGAAACAAGTACATCCAGCATTACTCAAACATACCTTTAAGAAAGGGCAGCATGTAAGCAATGGTGCATGGTCCAAGTTTAAGTGGTGGCTCCTTTCCATAGGTTTGACCTTGCCATCTTCATCATCACTTAACATGCTATGTTTGAGCTCAAACCCATTGCTTAATTGGTGGCAAACACCTGGGGTGTTACACATGACGACACGCTTGTCCCCGTTGTGTCGACCAACACTTGGTGGTTCGACGGCTAAGAGATGTTGCATGAACCTCATCCACACAATTGGACATCGCAAGCACCTACCCACAAGTGAAGTAACTCAATGACACGAGTAATCCACTAGAGTTACCTTTCGGCTCTCCATCGGGGAAGGTACAAGACCCCTCACAATCACCGGAGCTGGCCATGAACAATCACCAACATATGTCGAAGCTCCTCAGTTGCTCCAAGCCATCTAGGTGGCTGCAACCACCAAGAGTAACAAGAAATCCACAGACACAACGATTCCCAAGTGCCACTAGATGCAATCACTCAAGCAAATGCACTTGGAATCACTCATAATCTCACTATGATAATGAATCAATGATGGAGATGAGTGGAAGGTGTTTGTTTAGGCTTACAAGGATGTTAAGTATGTCAAAGTGCCAAGAGAGTGAGCCCCAAGCTGGTACCTTTCTATTTATAGAGCCCCAAGACTCAAAAAGTCATTGGGCACTCTCGGGCTGACCAGACGCACTGATCGGATGCACCCTAACGTTCGGTCGCCCTCAGCCGTCCAAGTGTCAGCGCTTTGAATCTCGTCCACCGATCTTCAACGGTCAAGTCCACGCGCTCGCAAAGTTAAAGTGTGACCGGACGCACATCACAAGTAACAGGACGCACCGCACCGTGGCGTCCGATCTGTTCCAGTAAGGTCCTAGAGCGCAAAAACAATTACTGGACGTGTTAGGTCTTCAGTGACCGGACGCGCCGGTGAGTCCGATTGCTCCAGCACTTCTCTTCGTGTGCTCTCGGTGCAGACGCCAGTGTACGTCAGTCATGACCTGACGCGCCCCCTGCGCGTCCGGTCGCGAGCTCTTGCCTGTGTTCGATCGCCTCCAAGCACTTTGTCGCCTCTAGACAGCTGACCGAACGCACCGCCTGCGTCAGATCCCAGCGTTCGGTCGCACATAGGCCATCTTGGCCAAGTGCTACGCCACCTAGGTCAACTGACCGGACGCGTCTGATCAAGACGAGCCCAGCGTTCGGTCATGTGCAGTGACCCCTTTTTCTTTTTCTAAGTCCACAACCACTTAGCCCTTGCTTCCAACTTGCTAACCATAAAGTGTAGAACTTATGTGCTTGTGTGTTAGCATTTTTCAAAGCATTTTACAAGGGTTAGAAGTTAGCACACTAGGTCCCTAAATGTAATGCATGAATCATGTCACCTAGTGGCACTCAATAACCGTTTAGCCAAAGATTTCACCTCTTTATAATACGGCTATCAATCCTAAATGTGATCACACTCTCTATAGTGTCTTAATCACCAAAACTTAAACCCTAACCAATGCCTTTGCCTTGATCTCCTTGGTTTTTGTTTTTCTCTTTCTTCTTTTCCAACTTGAGCACTTGATCATCTTTTGGTCATCACCATCCACCATGATCATCCTCTTGCTCCACCACTTGGAATGAACTATCCTCTCTAGTCTACACACTTAGCACTTAGGATTAGTCCACAGGTTTCATCAATTATCCAAAACCAAACTAGGGCTTTCAATCTCCCCATTTTTAGTAATTGATGACAACCTTTCATAAAGATGTTTAATAAAAATTTCTTGGATTCATGTTGCTTGCCTAAGCATATTACCATGTGTAAAGGTTATGGATAAGTTTCATAAACCTAATTTGGTAGTATTAGCTCCCCTTACATATGTACTAAGAGTTTGATTTGAAAGCTTGCACATATGCATAGATTTGAAGTTTGGAAGAGTAATAGCTACCAAATGATGCTAAGGTGTAAAGAATGGACATTTAAAGCGTGATATCAATCAGAGTTGCCATTTGAACACCATCCTTTGCACCATGATTTGTTAGATACCACATGAAAACAAAAGACACTAGATACATCGTGAGATCATATTAGAAACAAGGCTCTAGCACTACTTGTAAAACCAATTCAAGTGTTTAGCTATCCTATGCATGCTAGTTTTCATTACATCAATCATTTTACTATCTAGCATACACCACACAAGCATGAATATAGAATTAAAAAAACTTATGCCATGCAAACAAACATATGTAATGCACGTATAAATACAACAATCAAGTTTATGACTTGCTTCCCCTACTTGTTTGCTTTAAAATTTTAATTGATCCCCGTACTTTGTCATTTTATTTGTTTGCTCCCTCTATCTCTTACTATCTTTGTGAATTACTTCCCCCATTTGTCATATATTTTAATTAAGATTAAATTTTAGATAGATTGAGGTGAAACCATGTGAAGTGAGGATCTTTTTCTCATATATGGTTCAATTTAGATCACTTGCAAAAGATTTTTAACTCGATTTGATTTTAGGACAAGCTTCTTCACACCTCTAAATAAGGATTATCCTGTACCATGTTAAGTTATACATTTATAGCACATTTTTTAGATCAAACACTAGCTTCAAGCATACAATAGTAAGTCCACCATAAAAATTTCACCACAATTGGAACATAGGAGCTGTAGCTATGAATTATTTTAATTAATTATAGAAAAAATAGATCTAAAGCTACAGCGAAAACTTTGTACTAAAGCATACCATATTATATATTTACTGTGTAGATCTACTCATGTGGAGTCCAACAAAATTGATTTTTCCATTTTTCCATTTTATGATTTTTCTGTGATTTACTATGATTTTTCAAAAATTCGGCAGAAATAAATAAAAAAGAAAAAGACAAAACTACTGTCACAGTAGCAAAACCACCGTCCAAAACCGATTGAGGGTTATTTGACCGGTTTTGAAAAATTCAGAGGGTAGAAAATCCGGTTTTATAGTTTGGGGGTGAAGTAGTCCACCTTAAATAGTTGGGGGTTATGTAGACTTTTTCCTGTCAAAGTATAAACTACCAAACATAATTTTACTAAACACAACTTGCTTCTGCAGAACCAAACACCAAGATACTGGATATGTTAATCTATGAAATGCTAAAACTAATATATGCAACCAATCATACCTTATGTTTACACAATGACGTAACTTGCTAGGGTTGGCCATATTGACCGAAGTCTAAACCAAATCGATCAAGACTAAAGTTTTCGACTACTAGTCGAGTCTTGAGTTCGTACTATCCAAACTTTTTGTAGTTAGTTTGGTTATAACTTTACAAGGGCCACCGTAATGATTAGAGCTAGTTACCGGCTCTAAAATAACTTTTTCAATAGTACTAACTTTTAGCACTAGATTTTAGCATGAATAGCTCTACGTGATACTTTCACGTAACCTTGAAATGTATACCAGCGCTTAGCTTTTGATAAAAAAACTAGCTTTTCTTTCTTTTCTTTTAAAATATAAAAAATTATTTGTAGAGCTGTCTTAAAAGTTATTTGTTGGAGCTGCCTTTGGCAAAAGGGTCATGGCTCACGCACTAGGAAAGAAATCCAAAGGAAAAAAAATCCCCAATCCCCAATTCTCCATCCGTCCCCACCCAGTGGCCGGCGGCCGGCGGCAGGGCTCCGGCTGGTGGCCGGCGCACGGCGGCGGGACTTCTGGCGGCGGTACTCCCCCGCTACGGGCGGTGCCGCGGTGGGACTCGTGGCGGCAACAGCAGCAATGGCAACATCCGAACGCAGCCGACAGGGCCAACACCATGGGGCATATTCCGATTCGCACCACGCGGCCGCGTCCGCGGCCGCTGATATCGGAACAGCCATCATCAACGAGCTTTACAGGGCCGTCGATTGTGGTAAGTTCTTTAATTATCATACCGTCGATTATGGAAAGTGATTTTTTTTTCATGCCGTAGATTGAAGTCGGTCAAGAGGAGGAAGAAAATGGACATTTTCGACGACGACGAGGATTTCGATTTCCTGGAGGAGGACGAGGATTTGGGCGCCGACAGCGTTCACGCGCCGCCAGACGTGCGTGTCGCTAGGGCCGCAGTGGCGAATGTGACGGTGGGCGATGCCGACGCCCTGGAGTGCGGCGTCTGCTTCCTCGCTCTCAGGCCTCCCATCTTCCAGATTATTACCACATCTATATCAATCTGCATACATGTTCGGTTATTAGCATTTCTTGAAGCAAGCAACTGAGATTGGAATGATGGATAACCGCACGCATGCAGTGCGAGGTGACCTTGGCGGTGCATGTCCGCGCCGGGGAAGCGTTCAGCATCCGCTTCCACGACGGCTTCAACTTCTTCCTCCTCGCGGACCACCGTGGCGATGGTGAGCAAGCGGCCGCCACTTGCTGCAGCGTCCCGTGCCGGCTGTTCCTGCTGAACGTGACGCAGGAACGGCTTGGCCGTGCCATCTCGGTGCTCTGCATCCATCCTCACGCATCCGCCGCCGCTGCTGCCGACGGTGCTCAGTAGCTGCCGCTGACGCAATGCGAGCTGGTCTTCTCGCGCTACGGTGACAGGAGCTCGTGCCGTACCCACTACCAGTCGTCGGTGTTCAGAGTGGTGTGCACCGACCTCTCCAATGGGCTGCCCAACCCTGAAGGCTGCTTCCAGTTCTTCGTGCCCAACGCCGTTCTTGGGGTTGGGGACGACAAGAATTCTATCCAGGTTAAAGCGCGTATCATCAACTAGATCGAACAGCTTTGTGTGTGCACGTCAAGGATTGTATCTCAAACCTGCTGTAACGTCCACAAAGCATCCGGCCTGCTTGAAGTTGGTCTTGCAGACTTGGATATTGGGACTGATTCCACTGAAGAGCAAGTCATTCCTGGCCCCCCAAATTGTCCAGCACATAAGGATGATGGCAGACTTGGATGTGTGTTTCATGTTCTGTATTTCCTGAGTTATATGTGTGTTTCTTGTTCATCTGTTCCCCAGAGTCGATCTAATGATGATCCTAATTCCGTTTCTCTTCTACCTGTGTACTCCTTTTTATCTTAGTGCATACAAGAAACCATGATGTCAAAAGGGGGCACCAAGAAAGCTATGGATTTAATGTCTCCTATGTTTTCTCTTGGATTAAGGTGCCGTTTGGTTGGATAACGCGAACGCAAACGTCAACGGGAATGGATGGCGCTCGGACCGGAAACCATGCGAGCACTTACGGCTTTTGTTTGGTTTACCACGCATGAAACCATGGAATCGTTTACTGCCTAAATCGGGCGTAGTCAATTTATTGAAGCTCGGGATCAGTTGCCGTGGTATTGGGTCCCGTGGTCGCTGAAACAAACGGAAAGTAACGCTATTAGCTCACGGTGCGATCCGATCACCCCGAAAAGTGCACGAACCAAACAGCATCTAAGTCCAATGTTTGCTTCTGGAATGCCGATTTTACTTTTTGGGTCATGGACTGCGTACTATCATTAAGTTGAATTTTATTAGTGTGAACGCCCATAATGCAAATGAGGTATTTTTGCACTCTTTAGTTGTAGTATTTGATTCATAAGTATGAAGAAACAAAACAAATATTCGATATACAATATGCATGATGGTAACCATGATTGTCCAGCAGCAAATATTCTTTAGTTGTATCGAGCGAAGCTGGCAGTACCTCTTCTATAATAATTGACTTTAAAATGGCTAATTGTCCTGACAACCATATCTATTCTATCTATTTTCAATGTCAGAACTTACACAGCTGTAGAGCAAGGTCAGATACAGGCATACAGCAAATCGTCCTCACTTTGCAGACCGGGCCACAAGGCCCACTAAGGCCATGCCCGCGCACCCGTATTTGAACAGTTTTTGTTAAGAAAACTATCAATTTCAAAGCATTTTGTTGATGATTAAACCATAAAATTGCTATATTTGACTTGCCTTTTTCGTCCTTGTCCTCTCCTGAGATTTTAAGCAAGCTCTGCCACTGCTTATATGCCTTGGGTAACCGAACTAACCGAATAATTGGACTTTATTAGCATAATTTGTACTTTAGACTATTATTATTGATGTAATATTTACCCTAGTGCATTTATATTAACTATCACTCTTATCAATTTTGTTTAATCTAATATATTCTCTTGCCATTTTTGCCTTGAAGTAGAAAAATATTGCTTAAATTTGCTACAAATTATAATGTTCTGTGGCTATTAGTGGTTCGGTTAGTTTGGTCATAAACAAAACCAAACTTGCTCGATCCTAAGTTTTAAAACTATCCGGTCGCTATTTGATTTTCAGATGGCTGGACTTTCAAAATAATCAAAGAATCGATTGGTTCGGCTCGGTTCGGGTAGAACGAACACCCACCCCTACAACCTACACCTAGTCCAGGTGATAATTTGTGATAACAAAACTAAAAAATTGATCTTTGACATTTATAAAAGTTTAACCGATCCAGGCGACTTTTGGCGATTCCAAAAGAGGGCCTAACTGCCTAAGTATGCTGTTGCAACAGGCCAGGAGATAAGATATCTCAGTTCGTTGTTCTCTTCTTTTTTCAAGAAAAGCCTCAATTTGTTCATATCGGCATCTCCTGGCACATCACAACAGTTGGTCCATGGATGAAGAGCCCAATGATGCCATGGATATTTGGTATCCACGTACCAGTCCAGTTGCTCACGGCAGAGAGAGACTAAAGAAGCTCCCTTTCAGATTCTTTTGGTGTTGCTGATGGGCAGGGGAGAGGGAGACTATCAAGATGCTACCAGAAAATACCCCAATGAGGGTAGAGAGGGTGGAGCATATGCAGCACCAGCCACCAGGGATATGTAGATTGATGGGAATATATAGTATGGAGACTGACGGACGGACCAATCTTCAGCAGATTCCCTTCTCCACATTCTGGACAGTGCGAGAGGGATCATATGGAGATCTAGAGCAGGATTTGGACCTGCATAAACATCAATTTAGTCAGTACGAGGCTGTGAATGATGCATATATCTTTTGCATTTTTCTTTTGTACCTCAGCAACATCAGGGAGGGTCCAGCAATGATTAACATGTAGGGGGGGGTCCAACTCGAAATAAAGTGCTGCAAGATCTTACATCTGCATATATATTTCTTTCGTTCATTCAGAAGGTACACTTTTAGGCAGAGTCGCAGAGAGAGTGATGCATGATCTAGTCCTGGTTCTTGAGCCTAACAATTGATCCTCCATTTTAAATCTTTTCTATGTAATAATGCTCCAGGCGTTTTGGATGTCATAGTTTTAGAAGACTATGATATTAACAACTTTTCTATTTTATTTGCTTCTTAATTGTAATTTGGTGGATTTATGTCTTTTCTTTGAAGAGGTTTGAAACCGGAACGTTTCCAAAATTTGATATTAACAACTTTAGTTTCATAAGCCAAGGACCTGAGCTTATAAAAAAAGAGGTTTCGATTGGAGTTTTCAAAATGGCTACAGCATTCGCATGGCCATAGTTCTCAAAACTAAGTATTGTTGTATCCAAACGCGCAGCAGCTTTCTAAATCAAAGTCCTTCTAACTCTGCAAAAAATCTTTTTTCATCCAAACAGGACCCATAAATAGGGCCTGTGAAATACATCCATATTGCTTCATCCAAGTCGTATTTTCATGTTCTATAGTTATTCTGAACAATCTGAAGCCAAGCTTATTTACAGAATAATATGCGCATTCGCCGCACTTAACCTAATATATATCCGACCCTTATAAAAAACCAATATATATCCATCCTAGAATGCCACTTTCTTTTACTCTTTTCCTTTTCCATTTCCTGACATGAGAATATGTTGGTTGCCGAGCCTTGATGCTCTACGAATTATCACTTTATCAGATAAAAAGATGCAGCATGATGGAAACGGGGTCCTCCCTTGAGAATCAGCCTATGGAGATAAGTTGGACAGTGAAAGAAAGAAAGAAAGAAAGAAAGAAAGAAAGAAAGAAAGGTTCCCCTTGACATCAAATTCCATCTCCAAGAAATGTATGTATATAACAAAAAGAGGACAGGGAACTGGGAAGTGGCCAGGAACAAGAGCAAGGTGCCACCCATGCATGTACCCGGCGTCCTGGCATAGTGAGAGCATGTACACTACCCGTGCACTGTCTGCCTACCTGCATAGTAGAGCAATTTTGGGGGTCGAAATAGTGAAAGCTACTGACATGCACATCTAAAGCAAAGTGCTACATGATTTTTGAGATAACTTTTCTGCAAAAAACATTTTCAGATGATCCATCCATCAGAGGAGTCAATTCAATTCTCTGCAGCTTCAGGTTAAGATGCAGATCACTGAAAAAGGGCCACAAAAGAAAAAGGAGAAAAAAAAGGGAAGATAAGTGACATCAAATGTACCTTGTTGCAAATCAGCGAGTGATCCAAGGACATACAAGCTGTTCTCGTCAGAGGCTGCTTTGCCTTCCTGCAGCACTCGCACAGTTGAGCGTGTCATGGTGTCATTCACATTATTACCACACACATGCATGCATTTTCAAGAGGCAGGGATGAATAGCACTGCATGATTTGTATGATTGCAGTTATGATTGTATATCTTAAGGACAAATGGCCTATATAATTTAATCTCACCAAGTCGATTTTGAAATATACCTAAAAGTTTATGACAGAAATTACAAGTGAGTCGATAATATATTTTTGAAGAAAAATGATCATGGCCATAAAAATGGATGATGGAAGTTAACTAGTCAAGATTGTGTGAATCCCACCAGGTGGGTTTGATGGAGGAAACCTATACCTGGCTATGGGACTAGACTAACCCTTGGAAAATGCAAATGCATTAGACTTTTCATTTGTATTTTTCTCTAGGGCACTGAGCTTGCCAATTGATATAGGATACAGCCCTGTCCTTCACTGCCTTGGTTTGGTCAGGAGTAGCTTAGTTTAAGCCTATAATATTAGTAGGTGGTTAGGGAACAAAGCAAGGCCAAGAATCCGCTCAAGAGAGGGGAAGAAACAAAGGACAAGAAGATTGTACCTCCCATGGGGAGGTGCTCCATCTTTTGATAGAAAATCCTGAGGTCTCTAGTACCATGTCACTGTGATATTCCTGTGTTGTTTGTTACTGGTGTTGCCTTGGTGGTGGAACACTGGAAAACTGATGTGGGCAAACCTTCCCATTGTTGCTTTCTCTCTTCAAGAATCTTGCCAACTTTATTAACATTGGGCTCTGCAAAATCATGCAGCTGGACTCAAGCTAGGATCCACTCATTTTAAAATTGTAAAAAAAAGGAGAGACAAACATAGTACAATGTGGTAATTTAGCAAAAACATCATAGAAACAACGCAACCTCTTCATCATACACAATATTTAAGGCGTAGTTTGTAAGTTCAAACACCGCCGGAGACATTGTAGCGTTTTGTTTTCATCTACAAAAGACAGTTGTTCCCACCTTTATATCATACAGAGCTTTGTCCAATGAAGATCAGACAAGCCTTTTATTTTATATATTGACTTTTCTTAAAGAAAACCAAAAAAAAAAATTACATTAGTGCCATTAAAAAACCGAGAGTAGTAGAGATTCATTAGGTCTAGTTTAAAATTTAAATAGCTAGCCCCAAGTCCCGTAGTGGCTTTCTTGGACTGTGGCTGATTTGCTTTTAAAAACAATTGGGATCAGTTTGCTTCGTAATTGTTGAACCCACCATGATTAGGGCCTTGATTTGACCCCAAAAAGGCCATTAAATTGGATTTAGGTCCCATCATTTGTTTCTTCCTTCGTTTTCTCTCCACTCCTTTCCCCCTTCCAACTGAATCCATTCTTTGAAGGTCCCCAGAGACCGTTCTGATAAAAAAACATGATAGAGCTCAAGTGATTAAGCACGTACTAAGGCACTTTTTCAAATCAAAAGCGCTCCATGCATCTTTCAAAGGCTTAAAGATTGGCGACCCTGAATAATTAAACATGGTGATCTGCTCTAAGCCTCATTAGTTGCTTGAAAAGTACCTTTGTAACCCCACCACTGGTCCACTACTTCCATGCTAATGCAAATGCAAATCACGAATTGTTACATATTTTTATTCAGGTATAAAGACAATTTGAAAAGGTACAAGAACAGCAATATATTTGGACTTGTTCAACCCCCTACACTCTGGTTTCGGGAAAGCTTGACTAGGGAAACACAACTGAAATAGCTCCAAATTTATTTGAGTTCAATTCAAAATGTGTGGATGCTCAAAGTATCTCCATTTTTTTCTTCATACAAACTTCACGGGTCGTTGAGAATAACTAAAAAATAAGTGATACATTTTCAGCCAAATGAACTAATTTTGCAATTTCTACACTTCCCTCGCTATCAAGTTCTTAATCACCTTTTCCCCAAGAATTGAGACTGTCTTCAATGTAAAACTACGGAGACATATCCTTGACATTCTTCGTTGACACATAGAGAATTTATCGTAACAGTATATTCTTGCAAATAGACCTTCCTCTTGAAATCAGCATCTGTTCTTCCCCCAAGTTGCCAATGAGTAAGGTGCATACAAATTTGACGGCATAAAGTATATGCCACGTTGCTATCCTTGACAATGAAGAAACATTAAAACCCAAACTTGAAAATTCGTCTGTTGTATTTCTCCTACAAAAGTGTTATTTGTTCGTTATTACATAAAACTTTAGCACGCAGTCCAGCGCAACCTACCCCTAAAGTTTTAACTCGGTAAGTGGGCAAAAAAATATTTGCCTCATTTGTACTTGTGTATGCCTCAATTTTGTACACAAGAGAGGTATGATATATTGATACTATATGATATATACGATACTCTCAAATACAATACCATGAAAGTACAGACGTTGCCTTGTGACTTGGG